TACTTAAAACTTTTTTTTTTTTTTTTTTGCATGAGGGTCTCACTATGTAACTTGGGCTGGCCTTGAATTTAGTAATCCAACTGCCTCGGTTTCCCAACTTCTGGGATTACAGGTGTGTACCACCATATCCAGCAAAGAAAACATTTTAAATACTAATTTATGTTAACATTAGAGTATGTATATGAATTTTAAAAAAGCAGTAAAACAAATATTTTATGTGTAATCTAGTTAAACCATGAAGAAATATTTTATTCCTAATCTTACCAAATACAAACTGTCTGAATTTATGAAATGTCTAGTTGAAAGAAGTGATATTTATGAAAACTGTTTAAAGGTCATCTCTTTCTGCCAATCATCAGAATAATTCAGACACACAGAATACAATATTATGACTGCAGAAATGCTTTAAGTTATGATCTTCTAATTAAATCACAACAAAATGTTACTTAAGATTCATTGTTGCATAAATTCATCATTGCATAGAGAATATTCATCAATGTTATTTAATGTTAAATATAAAAGGATAAAGCACCCTATTTAAAAGCTGTATTATCTGGCCAAACAAAAAAGGAAGACACATTTATATGCAACCACTGTAATCTTTAAACATAAAGGCCGGGATAATATTTTGATATTGTTAGTATGAAAGATATGATTATTGCTATATTTCAATATCATTCTTACTATTATTTGAGATATTTTGAAAAGTAATTTATAAGGGGGTATATTTATATCAAATATATCAGTAGTCATATTACATATATATAAAGTTCTACATGAAAGATTATTACTATGGATAAAAAGGTCATTTAATAATAATAAATGTATCAATTCATCACGATGACATGTCAATCATAAACATTCATGCACTTAATAAAAGAGCTTCAAAAACACATGAAAACAGAAACTAAGAATTGCAAGGTGCAGTAGACCAATTGATAAGTTTAGAGAGACTTTAATATTTATCTCTCAATAATTGATAAAGTAAAGACAAAATTCACCAAGGATAGAGAAAACACTAACCTTAACATTTAACCATTTTGGGTGTCTTTGTTTTTGTTGTGATGGCTCATGGATGTACATACATGTCATATTTAATCAATTCATATATTTGAAATGTTACACGGTTTTTAAAATGTTGAGTACATCTATAAAAAGCTTTTGAAAAAATTCAATATATATCAAAGACCTTGTGAAACATTTATGACCACTTAAAAGTACAAAAGAGAAGATGGAAAAAATGAAAATGAACCAAAATTAATACCTTGTAAATACTGGAAGCTGGGACTGAATAACCTGGACTCTAATTACCACAAGTAATAACGTACTGAACATCAAGACAATCAGTTTTATGAGTGTCTGCAGCAGAGAAAATGGAATACTACTCTTTCCACGGAGAAACTGTCCAGCAGTAGTACACAATAATGGCAAAGTATACTAAAAAAGAGAAAAAGTTTAAATTAAAAAAATAATGTTTTCAATAATGTAGCAATTTCTAAATGTAAGATTAGATTCAAATTGAATATAATTTGTAAAAATCAATGTAGGACAATTTGTGGAGCTAGTATAGAATAAAAAGCTCAAAAATCTCATGCAAAAATGAATTACATTTTAACAGTATTGATATGTAATTTCCCAAATTGCCTGATGATTTTATTGTTGAAAATTAAAAGCAGTCTATACAAAACTGAATGTGTCAGGCTGGGAATTTAGCTTAGTGGTTCCGCTGCCTGTCTCGAAAGCTCAAGGGCTTGAGTTCAATCCCTGGTACCAAAAAAATAAATAAATAAAGGTAAAGAAAAGAAATTACTGAGATAAAACTGAATGTGTCATAAAATGTTAAATAAGTCATTTTCAGTGGTTAATGCTTGTTTCTTGAAAATTTAGGTATCATTATTGGTAAGTAGATATAATTCACATGTATAGAAAGTAAGGATATTAAAATCTGATTCTACTAAGACAAAAGATAGCAACAAGAAAACATGTATTTCCTTACCCCCTGGGCAATAAACACTTCATATACACAACATATTCCCACAACTGTTATGCCTTGTTCTTTACACAGTGTTGCAACAGCCACTAAAATCACTGTCAATGCAATTGGAGTCCACACTGCAATTTAAGAATAGACAAAAAAAGTAAACTATATAAAACAATTTTACAATATCATAAAGCAGTACCTTACCAACATTTGTATTATTACCTATTGACTAACACCCCATACTTAAAAATATATTTAAATTTTGTAAGTGATTTTTGCTTTATGTTTTCAAAGCAAAATGTGAAGGTATTTAATTTGAAGTCAAGTACAGTGGTAAATGCCTATAGTTCCAGCTACTTGAGAGGCTGAGGCTGAGGTATATAAATGTGTACTAATTTTTAAAAGAAAGGCAGAATGGTGAATTTGGAGAAATGCATATGCATAAGCTTTAGTGTCATAATTAATGCGGTACCAATTCATTAAAACAAAAGTCTGGAATTATCACATAATTATATACTTTATTATACCTGTAATTTAATTTGTTACACTTGAAACTTAAAACCACTGGGCAAAGTAAGTGGGGAACCATCCTCATAAAAATGTGGTATAAAATTTAAAATGAAAAAATGAATAATAACCATTTAAATCACAGAATATACATAAATTACATTTATATGAAAAACTCAGTTCATCAACTTTAAGTAAATGTTATTTATTTAATAATAATAGTATGGTTAAAGAATAATACACTATGAGAACAAATCTGTATCTACTACCAACCATTTGGTGAGTTCTACAACTTTTCTGAGCTTCAGTTTTCTTACTGGAAAACATGACATCGAATTATTTTCTAGTTTAGGAGCTGGTAGTATGATCATATACTACCTGGTATTACACTAACATACACAAAACATCAATATATCATATAGAGTACTGTTTAACCATAAAAAGAACAAGGTGGATGGAATTGGAGATTAGCCTAAGTGAAGTAAGTCAGGCAAAAGGAAAACAACTACTGCATGATCTCACTCATATGTGGAATATAAAAAAATTGATATTATAAAAATTGAGAGGAGAATGGCAGTGATTAGAAGTTGTGGAGACTAGGAAAGAAGGTAAGATGGGGAAAGGTCAATCAATGAGTACTAAAATGTAGTTAAAAAGGAGTTAAATTCTAGTGTGTTACATTACACAGTAGGGTGACTAGAGATTGTGTACTACGTATGTCAAAATCTAGAAAAAAAGATTGTAAATATTTTCAAGATAAAGTGATAAATGCTTGAAGAGACTAAGTTTCATTTCATTACATAATGTATACAGGTTATCAAAATATCATGTGGTAACCCATTAATATGTAATTTGTGTGTTTTTACCTATCAGTTAATATAAATTTAAAGGGGAACAAAACAAAGATGAAATATATCTTAGGTTAAAGGAATGACCAATATTACTCCCATGCAATTTAAAAAGAATTGCAAACTTACCAACAAACCTTCAACAGTTATATACCTCTTGTGTAAATGAAGAGGAATAGCTAATTACTTAATGTTAATTCTCTTTAAGAGACAAGTGAGGGTGTTTAACAGAAATGGAAGCAACGCTGACCAACAGTGGCCCCGAGGAACCTGGAACTCTCCATCCTGTGCTTTAATTCTTGTCATTTCTTCAGAATCACAGTAGAAACAGAGTGGTCTAGGCCTCTTAACAGGGATGGTGGATGATAGATAACTTGAGGAAAACATGGGGCTTAACCTCACAAGCCAAAATAATTGTCTTAAAGGTACACCAATCACAAAAGAAAAAATGCAAACATAATAGCATATGCTATTAAATCAATGTTAACTCAGACAAAACATTTAAAATAAGTTACCTTTAAGAAAAATATAACATTAAAATTATGAATAAAAAGAACAAAGTAAAATAATTGGTAAGAATGGTAGCAAATATGGTTAGAAATAGAAGTTAAGCCTAATCATGGTCTTATAGACCACAGTTTTTAACTTCATTACTGATGCTTTGCAGAGTATTGGTTTGTAATTCCATATTAGATACCGAACTATCTTTTACTGAATGATGGAGTACACAAATACAGGTTTTATTATACATATTTTATAGATAAGAAACAAAAGCACAGAGATGTTTGAGTATTTTCTCAAGGGTAGAATATAGAGCTAGAAAATAAATGGTGGAAATGGAATTTGAAAGCCAACTCTCAAGTCCATGCCTTATGCTATACTGCCACTCAAACCGTTTTAAGGCATTACCGTATATAGAGCAACAAGGGGAAAATTTATTCGTATTAAAAAAATCTAAGAGAAAATAGACTATTTGGCTATCATGTATTTCTTAAACCTTAGTTTCCAAATATACAAAATTAGGCTTTGTATCGCCAGTACTTCGGGACTCTAGTGAGAAAGTCCCCTCAAGAACTCTGGAAAATAATTTAGAGTTAAACTTTAAGATCAGTCAAATAAGGTTTAAAACTACTATATAAAGTTGTTTTGGTGGCTACTATGCCTAAACTCTAAAAATTCATTTTTATTGCTGGAACTTGTTCTCTAACAAGGTCAAGCATGAGTTAATGAATAAAAAGCACTTTCCAGTTTAGGTCACATGGTAGGGGCTCAATAAATAGCTGAAACATTATTGATACGTAATACAAGTTAAAGTCTATCAGTCTTTTAACATTGCCTAAACAACATCACAGCCTTCTAGGTATTATTTATTAAAAGACAATGAAGGCATTGGTACCAGTATTGTTTTCCTTCAAATAGCAGTAGACGAAACTACATGAAGTTAAACCCTCTATGTGGCACATAATGTATTGTAGGAAGCACTTGGAATGTATAAAACTTACTTGATCAAGTTTTTTATATCTTTAGTTACAGAAAAAAATCCAATGTTAGAAATTTACCTATGGAATTATCTGGTCCTTTTGATTTTGTATATGATAAAAACGCAGCTAGAAAAAAGATAGATGACAAAAGTTCTGCTCTTCCTACAACACCTGTCACCTAGAAACAGAAAGAAAAGGAGGTTCATGTTAATGAAGAATATCTCAAAACGATGTATAATAGCAACAACACTTTAACCATAAAATTTCTAACATTTTAACAGTGTATTTCTTTAACATTCTTTGAGTGCCCCCAAGTGGTGAATTTATATATCTTCTATAAATTGGAATTTATCAGGGACTCTTTTAAACAGTTCTAATTATTATTTAACTTATTCTGAAATAATTATAGATTCACAGGAAGTTGCAAAAAATAGTACAGAGGCTTTGCATATTCTTTACTCAGATTCAGGCAGCATGTTCCATAATTACAGTACCATTCTTAAAAGAATTCTTAAAAACAAGAAAATTTTTCTTAAAATATGAGCATTTTCAAAATACAAAAGTATCATAAATTCAATAAATTATATCTCATAATTAACCTGTAAACTAAAAAATACAATAAACTTTAGACAATCCCTTTAAATTTCATTAAATTAAATTGATTAATTTTTCTGGCACAGGTGATCAAACTCAGGACCTTGCATTTGCAAGGCAGGTCTGGCACCACTAAGATACATTCCCAGCCCACTCTCTTTAAATTTTAAAAATTAAAAGAAAAAAAAAAAAAGAACTGTCCCATTAAAATATTTTGAATTCAATTTAAAATTGAGAACATCCTCTGAGTTTTGGAAATGTTGGAAAATCTGGTCCAAGACAGTTAATGGAGAGATGCATAATACTTCTCCAAAAAACATGATTTTGCTTACAAAAGAAAGTTTGTAACAAAGCAACTGAACAGAATACTATTAGCTCTGCTACGAGGTAGCTTTGGAGTTTCAAGGTTACCACCATAAATAAAATTAGAGCTTGGGTATGTCTTCTAAGGAAGTGGCTGATAGACACACTGACAATAGCAGACAGCTCACAATTTTAAATTTTAAATCATGTAGCAGAGCACAATCACTCAATATGTGTCTCCAAATATTGTGATGTATTTTCATCCTTTACGTATATCTGCCTTTTACCTATTACTTGAAACATCGACAAGGTAACAATTTAAAATCTGCATTGACAGAAATAATTAGCAAACTGGGCAGAGTAGCACACACCTGTCTTAGCTCTTGGAAGGTGAGGCAGGAGGATCATAAGTTCAAAGCCAGTCTAGGAAACTCAAGACCTTGATTCAAAGTAAGATTTAAAAATAGGGGTAGTGATATAGCTCAGAAGTAGAGCACTTGCCTACCATATATAGAAGGCTCAGGGTTCAATTTTCAGTACCAAAACAGTAATAAAACTATTACCAAAAAGAAGAATTGAATTCATTCATATTTTATACTACTAAAGTTGAGATTATACATACCTTATGTCCTTGAAGATTATGCTTCAAAAACTGGTTTAAAATTTTTATGCAGTAGTGAGACTTTGTGTATGAAGACATTAAGGTCTTGTACTACTTTAAGAGTTTTCAAATATTTGGATTAAAATCATGGTTAAAATTTTTTCTTAAAAGTATGCCCCATAGTGACTATAGGCTTTTTAAAAATAAATAAGAATTAAACAAATAAATTATTGTTTTACTTACAGCTTCTGTATGTATCGGGTGCACTGCAAAAAGCAGAGTAGCAATCAGACCACTCTTGTTGTCCAGAAAAAGTTTGCAGACTTTCAGAAATACCACACTAACCATAGCATGAAAGATCATATTTAGGAGATGATATGACATTGGTTTTAGTTCACTAAACATATAATTTAAACGAAATGTCAATACTGTTAAGGGTCGGTAGGACTTGTGACTTCTCTCCTAAAAGGAAGGAAAAAGTATTGATTATTAAAGTAACTTGGTACTTCAGGGTACAGAAACTTGTGATTGTTTTTAACCATAAAAATATTTGCATTTGGCTGTGACATAACAATAATGAAATGTCCCAAAGCAACATAAACATATAAGATAGCATTATAATGTTTAGATTTATAATGTTTTTATTTTCTTATTACAAGAGAATTTCCTCCTCGATATGTGATGGTCAGGTTAATTAGCCAGAACAACATTTGATTTTCCTCTTAAGTATTTGTACTTTTATAAAAAGGTAGAACAATAGAACATAGGATCTACTCAAAGCTATTCTTTTTATCCACCAATGCCAAAGTTAATATAACTGCTGGTTAAATCTTCACAAGGAAATTAAGAATAGAATGCTCGCCAGATAAGTTCAAATAGTGATTCAAAAAGGTATTCCCTAGTTGTTTTATGAAAAATGCCTCCATAATGTAAAAGAATGTATATATTAAAATAAAAGTGTACAAATAACAAAGAGAACAATATAGGTGTAAAAACTTTTTCAAAACATGAAAACAGAATCTTTTTGTCATAGAATTTTTTTAACAATAAACCAGATTCTGTGAAGTAATGATTTGTTTATAACTTTGAAGTCACTTTTTACCCAAAAGCAAAATCAAACTAGATTTAAGAATAAAATAGTTTAATAAAATATCACCCCAGTTAAGTTTATTTGTATTCTTATAAAGAAGGCACCCACCTCCAAATTCTTTGCTCTTCTACCTCTTACCATATTCTGATGTTACTCTCTGGCACATAAGTATAGCCCTAAGCCTATTTTTCCTTACTAGGAAATAGGAAACACAAGGATCAAACATTCCCCATTTTGAAATAAGGAAGATTTCAATATCGGTTTTTACATACTACATATATGATGTGTACCATCTATTTAGAATGTTCTTTCCTGCTTTGCTAATTCTAGTACATCAAATTTCATTTCAGGCATACAAAATTATTTTTAATGGACTCTACTGAACTGACATGATCTGTTGTACTAGAAGACAGATAGACACCTTTTGAATGCCTGAAATGTTACTGCAACTCCATTACGTGTCAGGTGAAAGGACAAAAATCATAAAGTAGAAGGAAATACATATTAAATTGCAGTATACATAATTGCTTAGCTAATTCTTTTAGATGTATGCATGCCACAGGTAATGACCATTTAAAAAGACAGTATTAATACAATTATTTTCGTAATTCATAATTATGACTATTTAAGACGCCACTGTGACAATCATCACTCATTATAGCAGGTTTACTCTGTAAAAATATAGTAAAACAGCTAAGTCTATCATGAACAGCAATTCAGATCATTTTTATACATAGGCATATTTAAGAAATATTTTTGACAATGGAAACAAGCATAAACATAGTAAATGAATAACAGTTCTATGCACTTAAATATAAGGATGGCAAAAACTTCAGCAGAATATCCTTTAATACGAGGTTCCTTATAGGCCAAATACCAGAAAGGTATAGCCATGGCTATACTACAGAGTCAACCTGAAAGACTTAAAGCAAACAACCTCACTCATAAGTAATCCCCCCCAAAATACCAAATCTCCACACATACATAAGAAAAACAAAATATAAAATATTCGATGCCCACATCCCACTCTGAGGAATGAAGTGATGTAGGAGATTGGCATAGAGCCTTAATAATGATTTTTAAAATGTCTTGGGCAGATTCTCCTCTGCAGCTATGGTTACGATCCACTGAAGTATCAATAAACCAGGTATCAAGAATCTACAGAATAAACCTATGAAACACATAATATAACCTAGAAGTACAACACAGTTTTTGCCATAAAGTCGCAGAAACATGGGTTTGTTAAACCCATGTTTATTGTTCAGACTATTTCAATTGATGAATTATTAATTTTAAGAGTTTTATTACATTAAACAATGAGTACCTAACAGGAAAAAATTTCACAAAATAAAGTATTGCATTTTTAATATTTCTTGAATGTTTATAAAAAGCATAAAAACCTTCAGCATTGACTTTTTGGTGTACAAAGTCTAAACAGGAACAAGAAAAATAAATCATTATATGAACTACAATGAAAATACCAAAATAGCACTCTACAAAAAAAAAAATCTTTACTTCAATTATCACACCTAAGAAAACAAGATATCAATAAAATATACTATCAAATATGAAACAAGTGCTTAGAATACATATGAACATTTTCATATGTTATTTACTTGCTTACAAAACCTAAAAGCATCAGAAACAAAAATCTTCGTGAACTACGATGAAAATACCAATAGAACTACAACAAATGTAATCCTAGCTTCAACTGTTATATCCAAGGCAGTCTTCACACATGACAACTGCATGTTTTGTGCAAAAGTATCACTTAAACTGATAGTATGTTGTTTTCCTGTCTTTTCTTGTAGGGACCATTTGACATCTTTTTGGTTTTCCTGTTATTGTAGTAGGTCTTTGGGATGTTGTACTAGCCTGTTTACCTGTCAGCTCACTAGTGTGTTTCACAATTTTTGTACAGTTCCTTGGGCAAACACTTTGTCTTTCCTTTGCTGTAAATGATCTCTCATGAGCTGCAGTTCCAGTCTTTTAAGAAATTATTTTCTTTCTTTACTTGGTACCAGGGATCAAACTCGGGACCTTGGGCTTGTGAGGTAGGCAGTGGCACCACTGAGCTAAAACCCAGGCCCATTGCTGTTTTCTTTGTCATCTGAATCAAGGAGGTCTACATTCCCTGTGTCCGCAATAGTTGATGCTTGCTCCATTTCAGTCACCAGGACTTTGGCTCATGTGGCCAACATCATAGTCATCATCGTCGTCGTCATCATCACAATCATCATCCACCCATACCACTCTTCTATTATGAAAACATGTATTTTACCATAATGGTTCATCTTCATTAGCCATGCATGAGTAATAGGGTTCACTTTTGACCTATAAAACTTGCAAATCTAGTTTTCCATGTGCTGTTGTACTGAACTGGGCTACTTCTACCAGAACAATGAAAAGAAAAAATTTTAAAAACAAATCCTAGAGTGGGGTGGATGTATTATACCCTCTGTGATGCTCAGGTAAACAAACTTAAATCTGTTTGACAGAGCATCATGTGGGTGAAAATCTGGTGTGACACTTGCACATGTGTACACACCTTGCTGTTTGTCTTACCCAGTGGGTAAACACAAAAGATGGCTTTCTGTATCCTTCAAGAAAAGGTACTCAGATGCACAGCCCACTACTATTAGGCTAAAGTAAAATCTGCAGTAGAAAAGTAAGGGATGTGTTTTGTGAAACCTAGTGTTAGGCTTGTAGGGTTTAAACACTGAGAGCCACAGATATACAAAGACCCTTAATAAGGCAGTATTCATATGGCTCAGAAGAATGTCCTAAGGCCAAATTATCCATTTAAGATGCACAGTGACTCAAAAAATCCACATAAGAAACACATGAACACACATACATGAATACACTCACACACACACATACGGAGGAGCCTGGGCTATCATTACTTGATGACATCAATCATTAGATCTTTGTGCTAATTCCAGGCTAACTGTGAAACTTCACGACAAGTAAACAGTATTTATAATTTTTCTTTTAATTCCTGTTGTTATTCTCTAGTTTATTCATTTAGTTTATGAGTATAATAATGACTCTTTTTCCTTGTCTGTTTTGGATGCTCTAACAAATTAAAATTTTCAGAAGAAAAATCACAAACACAGCACTGACACCCTGATATGCTACCTTGTATGAGGACCTTGAATTTGGCCTCCTAAATTTTCAGTTCAAATCTCAATGCTAGTATTGAAATCACAGCCAATACAAGCATAGGTTGGGGGAACGGACATGTATTCCTACAGGTCTCTGGAGAACAAAGGAAGAGGGGTAAGAAAAAGTTGCCCTAGGAACAATAAATATACAGTATACAGAAATAGGCTACATTTTCTCTTCATCATCAAGATTTTTATTCTAAAAGACAGAAACAGGTGAGATCAGGAAGGCTGTAGGAGACCTTATTCTTACCTAATAAAAAATATTTGTTATATGCTTATGACTAGAAGAATGGAAGATCTTAACCTCATCCTTGAGAAGCTTCTAAATCTGGGGAATAAAGAAACAGGCTACAAATGATGGCTGAGAAATTGAGTAATAGTGTATTACATATTATGTTTTAGTAATAACTTACTTAAAATTTGCCTTTTTCAACATCACAAAATGACTTGTTATTTAAAATCTGTATTCTCACCATTTTCATAAAGATAATGTATGACAGAACTAACATTAGAAGCCAATATATGTGATTTTAAATTGACAAGATTTTAATCCTAAACAATCAGTTTAACAGTGACCTTCAAAATAAAGTTACAGGAAAATGAACGAGACTTTTGGGTTTTGTTTAATGGTTATTACCAAAATAACTATTAGGTAGAGATACACTGCTTCAAATTTTTAATAACTACTTTTTTCCTGCTACAGGGAAATTGGCAGTATATATACTTAATATTTTTACCTATAATGTCTCATATATTTATATGGAAGTTAAATTTTTAAATAGGTAAATACAGTCATTTCTTGTGATCCACAACATAGAAAAAAGAAAAATTACCAAGAGACTTATATTTCATTTATTGTTCTCCCTAAATATTTGATTTTTAAATGCACATATTATTTTCTAAAAGCCAATATACCAACCAAAGAAAAACCACTACTTTAAAGATAATTACATCTTTATAATTTCCTGTCCAATTTATTACAAATAAATTGTGTCTCATACAGTAAGTACTTACCTCAGACATAGGGGTTCCCCAGAAATCATTCTGAAATAAAGTTTTTAAAGGTGTAGATGGATGCAGATCTTTATTATCCAAAATTGCTGAAACATCATCAAAAACAAAACCACAGAACAGGCTGTTCCAGTAGCAGGCAGTAACCACACCTACTATTAAGGTTACTTCTTTGAGGTTAATATCAGCCATCCTTTCTGTAAGTACTTATGGACAAAAACTGGGAAAAAACAGGAAAATGAAATAAATACTTTTTAAAGCACATTTTGTGTGGATAATTAAAATAAAGGATGCATGTTAACACTTTCAACAAAGCTCAGCACAAACGTCTCCACTTCTAAGACGCGTTAGCTAACCACTTCTCCATAGTCCCAAGGCAAAATTACTGTCTCCATTCATCGTCCCTTCAAACGTGTTTTCACAGCATTATTACTGTCCTTGGATATATTACTTAATTTTTGGACCTATATCTTTAGCTAAGGAGATAGTAAACTGCTGATGAACTATCAGAGGTTAACAACCTGTATGATATGTTGCAGGACAAGTCTAAAAGAGTCATTTTGGAAAAACAAATAGTGCATGTTATGAGCTATATTAATCTACTACATTCACAACAATTTGTTTTAGCAGCAACGTGAAACTAATATTTACTTCAGGAAGCCAGAGATATGAGCTCTGACATTTACCTATGTAGTTATGGCCAGATCAAAGAAGAATATGAAATAAAATACAAATTCTGTTCAGCAGTAAAAAGTCCTACCAGTATAAGGAGAGCGGGTACAGATTTAAAAATCAAATGTACAATTTATACAAGTATGCATATATAAGGGATATATATATATATATATATATGAAAAAGAATGCTAGTATCTTTATAGTCAGATAGGAAGATACAGAATGTATCACATGAAAAACAAACTATAAAACCCCATTCAAAAAAGGAGGGAAATCAGCTGTACCCTTTAGAAATACAGTTCTCAACTAAAAGAAAAATTATGCAAGGGCTCATCTTGAATCCAGAAGTGATTATCATCATGGAAGGGTACAGACTTACACATTCTTACTAATACAAAAAACAAAACAAAACAAAAAAGAAAAAATGAATAAATTTATGGTGCCTGCTTAAAAGAATGGAGAGAGTGAACAAGTATTCACCTTAGCTCTTGTCCAGCCCCACACTAAAATGACAAAGTATTTCAGACAAGACAGAGCATAAAGATAAAGACAACTACAGAAAACACAGTAAATTTTAGTAGATGGAAAAGTTAAAGGATTAGTAAGCGACTCAAAGGAAAACAGGAAAGAGAATCCTATTTCAAGAGGGGAAAGCTGACTGACTGACTGCCTGATTATTTCAACTCCCAGTATTACTGCTAGGAGAAATCTCAAAAACTTGTGCCAAAGATCTTTGACAATAGGGCTAGGAGGAGGTGGATTTGTTAAAGTTTAAACTTCTCTTAATGGATACAGCTAAATAACCATGCCCTTCTACATTAAGCCAGAAGACTGAAGACTTTTTCTTCGGAGTAATTAAGACACAAGATATCTGACATGTTACACAAATTAGAATAAAGTTAGCATATCAAACATTATTAGAGGTAGGTGGGCAGAGTGGTACACGTCTACAATTCTACCTATTTGGAAGGCTGAGGCAGGAGGATCTCAAGTTTATGAGACCAGTCTGGGCAACTAAGTGGGACTCTATCTCAAAATAAAAATGCAAACAAATCAAAAGGAATGTAGCTCAGTACTACGGTACTTGCTTAGCATCAGTGATTCAATCTCAGGGGTGAGGGACATAGAGACACAAATGTCTAGATAGTTTAGGTTTAGAACCTCTAGCTCTCTTCAACTAGGGACAGAATGCTGTAAAATTTTACAATGGAATCACAGGATTCTAAAAAAAATTAGGAATTCAAACAAATTATTATCGAAATGCTGTGGCTAATGTTTCCAAAACTATATTGAACAGGAGTGGTGACAGTGGACATCCTCGTCTTGTTCCTGGTTTTAGTGTGAAGGATTTCAGGTTTTGACCATTTAGCATGATGCTGGCTGTTGGTTTTTCATAGATGGCTTTTATCAGATTGAGGTATAGCTGAATGGATTCACATTGAGGCGATACTCAAGTGAAATAAACAGGTCACACATGTACATACTGAATAGTTTCTCTGGTGTGAGAAACTGAAAGTGTGAATAAGGAGAACTAAACAGTATAATAATGTGAAACAGGAAGAAAAGGGGCAAAAGGGGAAGGGGAAATGGGAGGGATAGGGAAAAGGAAAGAAGGGAATGGAATTAATATGACAATGAAAAAAACTGGAAAACAAAGTCTTTGCAAATAGGGAGTGATTGAAGGGAGGGCAGGGGAATGTGGAAAAAATAAGAACCAAGATAAGATTATGTAAAGGTGCAAATTTCTAATGATGAACGTCATTATATTGTACACCTAAAATGTACCAATGAAATTTATTAAAAAAATTATTTTTTCACCAGGTGTGGTGGTGCACGCCTGTAATCCCAGCACTAGGAAGGCCGAGGCAGGAGGATCGCTGTGAGTTCGAGACCAGCCTGGGCTACATAGTGAGTTCCAGGTCAGGCTCAACTACATAGTGAGACCCTGTCTCAAAAAACCAAAAAAAAAAAAAAATTGTTTCACCAACACTATGTAGCATGGGGAAAACATCCAGAGAGTAATGCTTCAAATTTCTGTGCAACAGTGATTTCCAACTCTGAATTTTATGTTTATAAGCCCCAATTTCCCAAATGGGAAAGTAGAATAAAAATATTTTAAGTCATTTAGGTCTTTAAATATTTACTTCCAGTGTCTTTGTAGGAATAAAGGAAAGAGGGTTCCCAATAGCATTAAAAAATAGAATGACAGGGAAATTAGGGGATAGAGTCTAGCGTAAGATAGCAACAAAAGAAATCTCCAGAATGACAACTATGCAAGCAGGTCTGCCAAGCAGTCCACACTGGAGCAGGTCAAGAAGGCATGATGGCCTCAAGAAAATATAATCAAGGGGGCCAGAGATTCAGCGCAGTGGTTTCACCACCTGCTTAGCAAACACAAAGTCCTGAGTTTGATCCCTTATACCAAAAGAAAAAAAAGGTACGATCATCAGAATATCTGCTGTATTTAAATACACTGAGATGAAGAATTAATATACTCTTAAATCATACATGTAAACATGTGTGTGTGTGTGTGTGTGTATATGATTTGTAATTTAGAAAAAAAAAAAACCTCAGGAATCCATCACTGGGCAAATAGAATTCACATTTTGTATACAGAGCAGATAATCTTTCCCATAAAATAACCTCAGATTCCCAACTTAATAATATCAGTTCACTTGGAGTGACAAATTTGATTGACCAGATGTTTTAACAATAGGAAATTTAAAAATTAACAGAAGAAAAATAAGTGAATTGAACCTCTAGCTTTAATGCATTAAAGCTATGCTTGGGAATAACATATAT